ATAAAAAGCTGCATTCTTTGAGATGTTTCACAATGGTCTCATTTATGTCACACGTTTTTATAATGTGCTGATCATCCTTACAATTTATATCTGAGCACATTAGGGCTTCCATAGGCACTGAAATGCTACCAAAAGATCTATCAGTTTGCAATGAATAACTATTTAATTCCCCCGATTTACCGTAATTTCCGGACTAATGAGCCCACCTCAATATAAGCCGCACCGGGCTAAAAGCCGCAGATATCTTCTGAATTGAAAACGTAGTTTAACTGAACGTAACTGAACTGATCAGTATCAAACAAAACAGAAAAGTTATTGATTAGTTTATTCATCATCCTCCTGTGCACTGAAACCACTGAAGTAATCTTCTTCAGTGTCGGAGTTGAACAGCCTCAGAAGAGCTTCGTCACATACCTTTTCTGTGGCGATGTCAGTGTAGCTCTTTTACGGTGTGTATAGGGTTTAAGACAATAAACTTTTGCCCATTGGCCCAATCAGCGTTTAGCCTCAGCACCTTCACCAGTGAGTCTTATTTACTGTTCCACAGTATACAACACCCCCAGATATCCTGCCTCTAACCAGCCTACTGGAGAGATCCATGGTGGACTCTCAGACTCCATGGAAATTCAAATGTAAAGAGTTTAGTTTGTCCAATTCTTGTTTGGCCAGCCATGTTTCTTGCAGACACAAAATGTCTCATCTGTCCAGTAGTGCATCCACCACTATACGTCTTGATTTATCAGTTACAGTTTGACCAACAGGCAGACCATGAGTATTGTATGAGACTATACGCATCTATCGTCTTCTCTCTGCTGGAAAGCTGACCTCCACTCAAGGCTCAGCATCAGATGAGCTAGCTCCAGCATCTTTACCATTATGAATCTCTTTTTTTTCTGTAAATGAAGTACATCTTTTGGTTTCCCTAAGTCTCCATCCATCCCTCTAGGGCGGTGAGGTTCACAATAGTGTTGGACAAAACAACCTGCATGCCAGAGCTGTGAATCATACAACTCCGTCACATTATTACATTCAGCTGAGACACAGAGAGTTAAATCTACTCGGTGGCGTTTCTATCTTTGTACATGACACTTTCTTACCCAGCTTTGACATTAAATAGTCACACAGCGAATTGGCAGCCACACTTAGGTCAAACTTTGTAGCGAAAACCTTCACCAACTTGGTTTTAACAGTGATAATATCGGTGGCCGTTCCAGCCCCTATTATTCCAGTCTTTTTCCTGACATGCTTCACCGCTCAATATTGCGACTTTGATGCTTAAAGGTTACTTTTACAGTCTTTCTAATGCTATGGTTCAATGGTAAATGGTAATTAAATATGGTATAATTGACATGATTTCTTTCAGTTTTTGGCCTTGGTTTCCTCATTTTTGGCTTTTGGCCAAGAATTTTAATTTTGGTGCATCCCTAGCACTAATACAACTGTTATATGTGTGAATATAAAGTTACACCAGTCAGCAATTCACATCATGCACTTCTGTGTTTCCTACAGATTTTTATCAGGTAGTTTTGGTTAAAGAAGAAGCTCCTGAAGAACAGAGTGCTGATGTAGACCAGCAGAATCCAGAAAGTCTTCACATAAAGGAGGAACTCTGGGCGAGTCTAGAGGAACAGCAGCTTCATTTGAAGGAGGAGACTGATGGTATCAGGTTTCCATTCACTGCAGTTTCTATAAAGAGTGAAGATGATGAAGAGAAACCTCTGTTCTCACAGCTTCATCAGAGACAAATAGAAGACAGAGATGTCCCAACCAGCAGCTCAGCTGACCAGATAACAGCAGAGACTGGTGGAGGAGCAGAAACTAGCAGGAACCAAGACCTGGACCCTCACGAACAGACTTTTGATTCTTCAGAGACAGAAGTTAGTGGAGATGATGAGAAAGACGATGATGATGATGATGATGTGAATCCAGACTGTGAGCTATCTGACTCTGAGTCTGAAACTGGGGACAACGACAATGACTGGAATGAGTCAGGTGTTAAGTCTGTCAACAAATCCTTTAGCTGCCCTGAGTGTGGTAAAGTGTTTCTCCACAAGTGGTCTCTCCAGAAACATGTGAGAGTGAAAGGTCATTCAGCAATAAGGTCTTCAGGCTGTTTGGTTAATAGGAAAAGCGTTAAAGTGAAGCAACATGTAGACTCATGCCGTAAAGTCCAAAAAGAACTAACAGCATATAGTTGTAATGACTGTGGGAAAATATTTAATAATAAATCAAATTTAAACAGACATGTTAGGCTCCACACAGGACAGAAACCTTTTACCTGTGGACTGTGTGGACAAAGATTTAGCCAAAAAGCACATTTAAAGGGCCACATGAGCATACATACAGGACAGAAACCTTTTACATGTGAACTGTGTGGACAAAGATTTAGCCAAAAAGCACATTTAAAGGGCCACATGAGCATACACACAGGACAGAAACCTTTTACCTGTGAACTCTGTGGACAAAAATTTAGCCAAAAAGCACATTTAAAGGGCCACATGATCAAACACACAGGACAGAAACCTTTTACCTGTGAACTATGTGAAAAAAGATTTACTCAAAAGGCTTATTTAAACAGTCACATGAGAGTCCACACAGGACAGACACCTTTCGTCTGTGAGCTCTGTGGACATAGATTTACTCAAGAGGCAAGTTTAAACTATCACATCAGAGTCCACACAGGACAGAAACCTTTTGCCTGTGAACTCTGCGGACAAAGATTTACTCAAAAAACAAGTTTAAACATTCACATGAGCGTCCACACAGGACAGAAACCTTTTACCTGTGATATATGTGGACAAAGATTTATCCGAAAAGCACATTTAAACAGACATGTGAGAGTCCACACAGGACAGAAACCTTTTACCTGCGAGCTATGTGGACAAAATTTTACTCAAAAGGCTAATTTAAACAGTCACACATTAGTCCACACAGGGCAGAAACCTTTTGTTTGTGGACTCTGTGGAAAAATGTTTACTCATAAGCGAAGTTTAAACAAACACTTGAGCGTCCACTGTAGAGATGGAAAGATTCACTGACCTCAATCGGTCAACTGACCAGCCAACCACACAAGACAGCAGGCGCTTACACATTAGCATCAGCACGGTCTGGGTTTGGTCGGGCTGGATGGCGTGAGTTTGGGCTGGTACGGGCGGTGTAGTGTGCACATATAATCTGAGGGACTTCTCAGGATTGCGGAAATCCCTGAGCCTGTGGGTGGTGCTTAATACGCGCAGGAAAGTCCGCTCCATAAGGTAAACAAAAGGCGGACATGAGCTGTGTTACTTTTGGAGACTCTTAACCACATTTTTTTAGTAATTTGCCATGTGTCCTCATAATCTTGTGCCACACACACACACACCTATTTCTCCCCTGAGCAGCTTTCTGCTCGTCACGGCAAGAGAGCCGATGCGGAGAATAGAAGTACGCACACATTCACACACACAAAGCTATTCTTTTCTCCCGTTCCCACACTTAACGACAGCTCCGGATTGGCAGTTCCACGCTACAGACAGAAGGTTACTCAAAGCATCCAGCATGAAAATGAACCACGCATGCGGGAATTAGAATTAAATTAGAATTAGAATTAGAATTAAACTTTATTGTCATAGCACATGTACAGGTACAGGGCAACGAAATGCAGTTTGCATCCATCCAGAAAGTGCTTTAGCCGTGATATAGATGTATTAAAATATATTTTAGCAATAATATAGATGTGTAAGTATATTACAGAAATGCATCTATGACGTATGTTATAATGTACACGGTGTGAAGTATGTTATGAATATTCTATGACTATAAGTATGTACAGGCTGTAGTTAATACAAGCAGAATTCCCCCGCTGGCTCATTCTTATCGCAGATCGGAGGCAGTAGGCATAATTTCAGCCGGCCAATCAGTCCGTAGTGTCGCCTCGGTCCCAGTCTGACCGCTTGGGAGAAGATCTGAGAAAAAGAGTCACCTCGGCACCGAAAACGCAAATCTGACCTGTGTGAAACCAAATCCCAGTGCCGTTCGATACATTTTGGTGCAGTGCCGACGCTAATGTGTAAGCGCTACTAGTTTGAGCGTGGGTGTCGTACAAATGACGGCTATATCGCAATGTATCCCCCCCCCCCCCCCCCCCCCCCCCGAGTCCCGATCCGATACTTCCGATACATAAGAAAAATAAGGAAGAAGCAGTTCCAGAATGTTCCCTATGTTTTAGTTAATTACCTTTTTATTTTAATTTTTAACAACAGATCACTTCTGTGAGGTAGCTTGAACTATCAAGTAATAAATAACGTAAATTCTTCACTTTTGGACTTTATTGCAAATATAAAAAGTCTAATATAAAAACAGATAGCACTTCAACTTAAAATACCTGGCAGGGGTCTATTTTGCCTCGGCCCCCAAAATGCTTAGATACATCCCTGGGCATGGGACAGAGTTTTGAAGATGATCTGAATTGTATCAACTATATAAATACTACAGGCTGGTAAATTATTGCTTTATACAGGTACAAACGTGTAGTGGGATAAATCTACCTGCATTTTTTTTTCAAACTTTTGTTTTCTTGGTTTTTATTTTCCTATCTTCCTGTTGTAGGGTATTACTACATTCTAGAATCACACTGTTTGCTATCAGTTGTAGATTCTGGGAAAAGATCCAAACGAGTTAACAATGAAGCTTCTATTATATATAAATATCTAGGATATTATATATATAGATAGAAGTTCACACACCAACCTGTTTGGTCTATTTTTAATCCAAAGATTAATGTTTAAGATAATTAAATTTAATAGCAAAAGTTTATTTTTGAATCAAAAGGAATCTTTGCTTTTTCAATAACCAGAAATATTTATACCTTTCTGTGTTTCATTTCAAAGAATGAGGCAAAGTATAAAAAAGAAGAATTTATTACTAACAATTTTAAACTTGACGATTTGAAATGACAATTCATGAATGACAATTTAACAGCTTTGATATTAAACTTGTTTAAAAGGCAAACCTGTGACTGACTGAAAGCTAAATTGAAAATACGAGTTTGGATGCGTGGATGAATTCTCAGAAGGTTTCTTTCAGAGAGAGAAGCGCATTCTGGGTTGAAATGATGGTTTTGCAGCTAACTGTTGTTACTTAGAGAAAACAGCATCAGACACAATCTGTGTGCTACCTCACCCAGCAAGACGACCCTTCGTGAGGTCAAGGGAGGATGGTGTCAGCCTCCAGGTACTCGGTCCGGTAGAGGAGACTCGAGGAACCGACTCTCTGGTCCGAAGATGTCGCCGGGTACACAGTGTCTAGCGTCTGGCTTAACTCTGAAGGAGTTTCTCTATTTATCTTTTTCCAGCCAGGGCCCCGAGTTCTGCAAAAGCTCACAGCTCATGCTAAATAACCATCGTGTGGGGAATCAAACCAGATTTTTAGTGGAATCATTTCAGCAGCATATCAATTATTATTTTCTCAATTCAACACCCACTCATCAGACGTGAAACCCTCCACCCTCAGCCACATGGGTGGCTGAGGGTGCCCAGAAGCCCGCTCACTCCCTCTGCAGGACGGCTTCACCTGCAGACCGGATCTCCAAGAGCTTCCATGATCTAGGTTGCGTAGACTGAACAACGACGTCAGAGTGGTTGATATAAATTTGATAACTTGTTAAATTTCATCCAACAAACAGCCAAATTGATATTATAAACCCAGACATCACACCTTTCTGAGTCACTTTGAAAAAGTCTTAAATATAAAAGGTCGTGTTTCACCAGAGTTCATTCTTTGTTTCATTTGATATCACTGTTAATCACCATTCATAATCATTTGCCTTTCATCATCATTAATATAATAATAAATAGATTTTTATAAACTGTATTTTTGTCTCCGTGTCAAATTATTATAAAGTGTTGTTTTCCTGGATTAACCAAATTACCTAGTTTCATCGGCAATCAAATATTAAAGGCTCAATAATATTGATAATCCATATTTTTATGGAATATTACATTTTATTGAATACCTTTTTATTTTATTGACAATTTGTTACAAGTAACCACTTACAAAACATTACAACATGTTACTGAAAGAAATAACTTTCGTTATTACGCCGGTGTCGGTACAGGATCGGCTCGGGGTCCTTCGACTGCCGATGACGTCACATTACTGCAAATCTACTCGGCTTTCACACACACGTTTTGGAAAGACATCATCAGTTTTGTTAATAAATTCTTGTTTGTTAACACCTAAATGTTTTCTTTATAATTGTAATTTGTTAATAAAACACCAGATTATCTTTGTTTTGTAAAGAATGTGAAACTGCATTAAACCAACATCGGACTGACAAAAAACAGAACAGTTCTTATATGTGAAGCCACATCTGTTTGTATTAATGTGGAGTTCGTCTGTATATTTCCTTAGTTGTTATCTAAATACGCGACGGTGGCACAGGAGTTAAGTGCTCGCCCCGTAATCGGAAGGTTGCAGGTTCGAGCCCCGCTCAGTCTGTCGCTGTCGTTGTGTTCTTGGGCAAGACACTTAACCCATGTTGCCTGCTGGTGGTGGTCGGAGGGACCGGTGGCGCCAGTGTTCGGCAGCTTCGCCTCTGTCAGTGTGCCCCAGGGCTGCTGTGGCTACATTGTAGCTCATCCCCACCAGTGTGTGAATGTGTGTGTGAATGACTGATTGTGTTGTAAAGCGCATTGGGGGGTCCCAGGACTCTAGAAGGCGCTATATCAAATACAGACCATTTACCATTCTTTGATTCAAAATATTGCTTGGTGTCTTTCAATAAAGTTCTTATATTTTATTTTGCCCCATTTCATCAACATCAAGAGCTTTTGAGGGTCACTGTTTATCATTTGCTTATAATTTACATTTTCTTTAGAAATTCAAACAAATTTTCTCCAAAAACTGTTGATTTTTGGACTACAGGACTACAACCGCTAAGACTACGACCGCAAATTTGTTCTGACCAATCCAAATCATAACGTGACAACGTAACTTCCGTAAGCTTCATGTTCAGCCAATCAACTACTTTGACGTCATCGGCAGGCGAAGGACCCCGAGCCGATCCTGTACCGACACCGGTGCTTTAAACAGCATTATTACCATCAATGTAAATTAGCCATTAGCAAAAAAAAAAAAAAAAAAAAAAAAAAACGAGATTGAGTTATTTTTGTGAACCAATAGTTTGAGATAGTTTAATTAATTTTTAATTTTATTTATTTAATTTTCAAGAATGTTTTTTTATTCTAGCTTTTGTTACTTGGTGGGCTCTTATGCCCTGTGTAGAGCAGTCAAAATGGTAAATGATCTGTATTTGAAGTAGTGCCTTCTGTAGTCCTAGAACCCCCCAAGGTCTCACTCACACACACGCACACACACACACACACACACACACACACACACACACACACACACACACACACACACACACACACACACACACACAACGCACCAAATAAAATAATGGTGATAGCGTGGACTAGAAGCCAGGTGATGGTTTATTTAAATGATGATCAGGCTGCTGTAAAATGTAATCTCCATCGACATCCGGGCAGAATTATCCTCTATTCTGTCTCCATTTTCTCTGCTCTTGTCTGGGCTGACGTAGCTGATGGTGCGGTATCCTTATGAAGGAGTCCTATGTTGAGAGGTACCGCTTCGTTCGCACACAGAACCAGCACCCCCGATGTTACACATCATTTAATTTTACTTTTAATAACGTCACCTACTTCAGCAGGGTGCTGTGTTACTGATGATGTCAAGTAGCTCCCCTTTGCCCGAGTGATCTGAGCTCCACCAGTGTGGATCTAGAGGCAGGTGAACATCAAGAGCTTTTGAGGGTCACTGTTTAACATTTGCTTATAATTTACATTTTCTTTAGAAATTCAAACAAATTTTCTCCAAAAACTGTTGATTTTTGGACTACAGGACTACAACCGCTAAGACTACGACCGCAAATTTGTTCTGACCAATCCAAATCATAACGTGACAATGTAACTTCCGTTAGCTTCATGTTCAGCCAATCAACTACTTTGATGTCATCGGCGGGCGAAGGACCCCAAGCCGATCCTGTACCGACACCGGTGTTTTAAACAGCATTATTACCATCAATGTAAATTAGCCATTAGCAAAAAAAATTTAAAAAAAAAACGAGATTGAGTTATTTTTGTGAACCAATAGTTTGAGATAGTTTAATTAATTTTTAATTTTATTTATTTAATTTTCAAGAATGTTTTTTTATTCTAGCTTTTGTTACTTGGTGGGCTCTTATGCCCTGTGTAGAGCAGTCAAAATGGTAAATGATCTTTATTTGAAGTAGTGCCTTCTATAGTCCTAGAACCCCCCAAGGTCTCACTCACACACACACACACACACACACACACACACACACACACACACACACACACACACACACACACACACACACACACACACAACGCACCAAATAAAATAATGGTGATAGCGTGAACTAGAAGCCAGGTGATGGTTTATTTAAATGATGACCAGGCTGCTGTAAAATGTAATCTCCATCCACATCCGGACAGAATTATCCTCTATTCTGTCTCCATTTTCTCTGCTCTTGTCTGGGCTGACGTAGCTGATGGTGCGGTATCCTTATGAAGGAGTCCTATGTTGAGAGGTACCGCTTCGTGCGCATACAGAACCAGCACCCCCGATGTTACACATCATTTACTTTTAATAATGATGTCAAGTAGCTCCCCTTTGCCCGAGTGATCTGAGCTCCACCAGTGTGGATCTACAGGCAGGTGAACATCAGAGCTGGATGACCGATACAGGCATCCTTTAGTGATACAGGCATCCTGACAGACAGTTGATTAAATCTAGATCACCTGTTGAACTGCTGCATCACTGGACTCTGTACTTTATAGCAAATCGTTTTAGATCATGTTTAATTTGTTGTTAATGACGTCATTGGGCTCAAAGGCATTCACAGCAGATTTGTACAAAGTTGCCAACTTTGTCCGTTTCAATCAGAGGCTTCATAATTTATAATTCACTTGTTCGCAGTATTTATTTATTTTTATTTTTTTTATTTTGTAATCAGGCATCGATGCAGCCACCTACTCACGCATCGGTCCAGAGCGCTACGCTGCAAACTTCTGGGGTTGCCTTGGAAACCTTTGTTTCGTCAGCGTCAGCGCTGGAAGCGTCTCCTTTGTGACGTCAGTACGTCACGTGATCTCAATCGCCTTTGATCGGGAGAACAACAGCGGTAGCTCATTTACTCTTTGTACACAGAACGGACCAGTCACTTCACGGACAATCTCGTAGCAAGATGCCTTTTTTCTTCGCAGGCTTCCTTTTGGGAAACTTTGTTACTAAAACTGTTAGAAAAACATTTGATTATTTCTTTGAAAAGCAAGAAAACGAAGAATTTGATGAAGATTCAGAAAATTTATTCCAGTCAGTTTCTGGTGATAATTTTACCGTCAGACCTGAACCCAGAGCCAACTCTGACAGAGAAACTAATCCGTTTATTTCTCACGATGAGGGGAGGCTTTCTAAATCTCCAGAGACACCTTACAGCCATGGAAACAGAGATTTACAAGAAACCTCAGTCGCTTATGAGGAAATCCAGCAAAATGAGGCTGATGTTTCAGAAAACAGATATTTCTTTGATTCAGAGCCCGATGAGATATTTTCATTTGATGGGAATGCCAGTATAACTTTCCAGGAGGAATCAGGAACAGATGAAGAGAAATTCTTGTTAGTTTCAGAGAATGGCGTTGATTGTGTGCCTGAAACATCTGAAACATGCGAAGCAATTTTGTTTGAAGCAGCAGATGTTCGTGAGTTGTTGCCGTTTGACGAAAGCAGAATTCAAGTTTTCTGCTGTTCAAACTCAAATTTAGGACAAACTGACGACGAGATAGCAGCTTCACAAAAAAGTGATGGGAAAATGAATTTATTCGATCAAGAAGATTATTCTATTCAGTTTTTGTCTTCTGAAAGAATTGCCTCTGAAACAAGAAGCACGTTTCTGGCTTCACAGGAGATGTTTGATGACGAATCTGTCTCTCATGAAGACGTCAACGTGGATTTGTTTGGTCAGAATCCCGACAATCTTGAGCTGTCTTTAGATAAAAGCGACCCTCAAGTTTTATTAAAGGAAATTTTTACACTAACAGAAGCAGAACTCATAATTCTGAATGGATTAGGTCAGGATGAAGCATCCTTCGCTCCACACAGTATAGAAGATGACAGCTCCAGCACTTCTGAAGACACTCGGGATCTGCTGGAACATTTAGGGACAGCAAAAACTGAATATTTAGTTTCAGAGGATGGATTTAGTGAGGAGGAAACATCAGCTTCAGAGGATGATGATGTTAAAGCAAATATGTTTGAAGATTTTTTAGCTTCAGAGGGAATTGAGGCTAAATATTTAGTTTCAAAGGATGGATTTAGTGAGGAGGAAACATCAGCTTCAGAGGATGATGATGTTAAAGCAAATATGTTTGAAGATTTTTTAGCTTCAGAGGGAATTGAGGCTAAATATTTAGTTTCAAAGGATGGATTTAGTGAGGAGGAAACATCAGCTTCAGAGGATGATGATGTTAAAGCAAATATGTTTGAAGATTTTTTAGCTTCAGAGGGAATTGAGGCTAAATATTTAGTTTCAGAGGATGGATTTAGTGAGGAGGAAACATCAGCTTCAGAGGATGATGATGTTAAAGCAAATATGTTTGAAGATTTTTTAGCTTCAGAGGGAATTGTGGCTGAATATTTAGTTTCAGAGGATGAATTTAGTGAGGAGGAAACATCAGCTTCAGAGGATGATGATGTTAAAGCAAATATGTTTGAAGATTTTTTAGCTTCAGAGGGAATTGAGGCTGAATATTTAGTTTCAGAGGATGAATTTAGTGAGGAGGAAACATCAGCTTCAGAGGATGATGATGTTAAAGCAAATATGTTTGAAGATTTTTTAGCTTCAGAGGGAATTGAGGCTGAATATTTAGTTTCAGAGGATGAACTCACGCAAGATGAAGATGCTTTGGATGAAGGAGGTGTTGAAACAAATGTGTTGGATCTGGGTGACGA